TTCTGGAATGCTGCTGAAGTTTTGAGAAAAGAAGATCTTACATGTGAAATTGAGTTCAAGTGTGCAATGCCCTGGAAAATGGATTATTTTTTTTTTTTTAATTATAGAACGCAACCAATCAACTCAAAAATCATTCACATCTCCCTCTCGAGGGGAAAAATGATTTCTCCACGTGTAAAGTTGTAAGGTAGCGAGAGACTCGGACTTCCGATAAAATGTCACCACCTGCTCCTGATTGTAGAGAACAAAGAGGTGAAGAAATGGGTCAGATCTTATTAATGTGTGACGACTCCTCTGCATGCTTGGAAGTAACGCCTCCATTGAGGACAGGAAGTGGTGATGTGCCTGTTACTCTAGGATATTAACTGTGTGTTCCTTCATTCCTCCCTCATGCCCAGTGGCAATTGGTAACTTTAACTGGAGAATTGCTCATCTGCTCTGTGAATCACAACTACATTTGAGTGCTAGAGAACGGTAGCTATAGCAGAGCTAGCCCTAAAGAAAATGAAGAGTGTTTCTTATGCCATACCAAGCCATACCATGAAAACTGAATTTCCTGAGGTGAATTCAGTGTCAGACCAGCTACACCCCTGAATGCTAGTTGCTCCTTCATTACAGATATACTAGATGCAGAAATACAAAACAATGAATGCAGCAATGCTATTGGTTGGAATATGCTCCCATTGTGATGCAAATGCACCCAAACCACTATGGTGGTATAACTTAAAGGAAAGGCAAGGATTCTTTTCAGTCATTGACGACACACTGCTGGGCTATGAGACAATGGGGATAACTGCCGTGGCCCATTTCTCATCCTCATGAAGTGTTTATACCAAAGGGATGGAGTAGCAGCCCTGATGAATTAGCGGTGTGTTAGCAGGCAAAGCAACAAAACTAAACACCCGTATGGCATTGGTGCCACCAGCGTTTTAAGTGTGACATTGGAAGAGTTTGTATTTTTACAGAATGAAATCACTTGGGAAATACCTGTCTTAATTATAATCTGATTTTTTTTCTGAATGTTACAAATATTTTTCTTTTAATCATTATGCAGGTGAATACTCTGTATAGCCTATGCCTACAAGCAAAACAAGTTTGACATAAAAAGAACTGCAACTTTTAAAATGTAGCAAAGTTGAAGTGTGTTTAAAAGGTGGTATGTATTTGTATAAAGAATGTGTTTACCACATAGCTGAGTGAGATAAAACCTCGGATCAGCCCTCTGAGAGGGAGGGTCAGGTGACCCGGCCTGGTGTGTAGATTGCATCCACCTGTCTCTCGTTCCTCGCAGTCTGTAGAAATAGATGTTTTTCTTTCTGCCCCCGGCAATCTGAAGGAAACCACACCCACAACTCCCCAAGCATGTCCCTCATACCCTGATAAAGCTAAGTTTTCCTGTCCCCTCCCCTTCTCTTTGGTTCTCATTTCCCCTCCCCCACCCCCCCGAGCGGTTTTTGTGTTTACTTATTATGTGCTATTTGTCCCACTACTGCCCAGCACTGCATCGCCTCACATGCAGCTCGTGTCACATGGTTCCTATTGGCTATCTCATCCAAAGAGGGTCTCGTATTCCCTCACTGTGTGTGTGTGTGTGTGAGCAGGCCTCCCATTGGTCTTGGCAGATTGGCTTAAAAAGGGATGTCAATGGCTTGGACAAACTGTAATTGTTGGTGCATGTTGGAGAGGTACATTGACAGGCTGCGAAAACTGCATGAGGATAATAAGGAATTGGATCAAAGGTTATAGCACCAATTTGCAGAAATGCAGAGTAAACTTTTTTTTCTATTTTGCGGTCTGGACTTGGTAGTAACACCAAATGCCTTGTTTAGCTTGTTATGAACAGGCAACATGACCATGATAAGGAGGGACATTCAGCAAACTGGATACTCTACCCAGGTTCCTATACACGACACACGGCCAGCATATACTGATGGCAATATTTTTTGAACAGTGGACAATCATCACTGTCTTTTTTTACAGGTTGATGAGCAGTGCTGATTCTTCACTGCAAGGATTTCACAGTGAAAGGCAGTGAAGGTGTGGGTCATGTTTTTCTGTCACTCTCACGGCCCACTAATCCTATTAGCAGGGATGAGTCATGCACTGAGGTAGCCGTCTTGGTTCTGTATCTTCCCTAGAGCATTTGTGGAACTTACAGGAGATGAGTGAACTGGAAGAACCAGGCCATATTTCTGCACAGCCACTGCAAAATCCGTGCTGCACTTGCTACATGTTCTGCAACTGATTTTTTGACGTTTGGGTATTTCTATGTGAACCTATTTAAAAATCCAGTAAATCCAGCAGAAAAAAATTACTAGGGTGGGAAATAACTTCTGCTGAACACTGAGCTCGCATTGGATAACGTTTAGACGTAACACCACTCTGTTGTCTGCATCTTCTTGTCATTTATTTATTTTGCTGTAAACCCCAATTTGCTTAAGTCTGTGATAAGGAAGCACAGGACATGGAAAAATTATGGGCTAACCTGTTGTTATAGCCTTCGGGGACAGCGGGAACATGACTTAAACAACAACATATTGCCATCATATTATAACACCTCTTCCTTAACGATCCCCCTAGCGCTGCGTAAGGTCTCTGCGTCCATCACAGGGGGACAGGAGATAATTTGTAATCAAGTTGGATCGTCACACTAAGATTGTTTGAAATCTAGCCAAATTGGCTTGCTAACCCTCAACCTTCTCCCTCATCATACATATTTTGTTATAGAAAATAAGCCTTTTTTTTAAATCTCTGGAAAAAGCATGGAACACAAAACAATCCCACAGGAGATGGCGTGCTCATGAATATGTAGTGGTGCAGATAATAGAGCACTCTGACTCACTGTTAGTGAAAACTACTATTTGCCTGTGTTTGTAATATGTCCTATTTGTGTATTAAGCGCTCTTTCTCATCAGCAAAGTATCCCATATAGATTTTTTAAAAACCTGCATGTCTGATTGAACAAGACATGAAATATTTATTGTTTTTATAATTTACTTAAGTTTGCTCAAGTGTTATAGTGATACAAATGAAATGGTTGGAAACTGCAAGGTTTTAATTGTGGAAAGACATGTTCTGAATTAATTTTTCTTCATTTCAAAATACTACCCTTCCTTACAAGCAAACACTTGAGGGTAATGATGTTTTTGTTTTGTTGTTTTTTTTTTTTGCTGCCGTACAGAAAATATTTGTTTGCATCTGTCTCGGGTGCCATGCAAAACATAAGTGTGTTAAAGTTTGCTAAGCAGTATGATTTCATACAAATATCAGTATAGCATCACGGCAAATTTCAGTAGCTAGCTGTGCTCTGCGGTGAGGACGGTGCTCTGTCGGTGTGCCAAGCTGGGTTTGGTGCACACCTCTCCTGCAGGTTCTCTCGGAGGATGTGGAGAGCTGAAAGTGGCACGCGACACACAAAGACATCTTTGAGTTCTCTTGTTCCTGATGACACTTGCGCATGCTGCACTCGCATTAGGTAAAGGGTATATTATTCAATAAGGAGTCTCACTCATCCGCATTTAACCCCCCCAGCCCCCCGCACACACTCCTTTGGCTGCGGTCCTTATTCCTAGTAGCCACTTAGGATGTTTAAGTGACACATCCTGGGTAGCATCACGCCTTCATTATAGATTTATGCATCTTCTCTGAGGCTCTACCCCCTTCCTGACCATTGCATATCAGTTTCAGCACTTTGCAGGTTCTGGTGGTGCAATTCCAGCCCCCCCCCCCCCCAATTCCCTTTAGAGTACAAAGCAGATAATCCACTTAGTCCATTTGCAGGGAGGCGCAGACTGAATTAGCTCTTGGGGCCGAGTCATGGTTGTCGCCCCCGCCCGTTACGGGGGTGCGCGGAGAAGCTGGAGCAGACGGGTCTCTTTAGCTCCGAGATGCCGAGAGAGCGAGTGGCGCGTGGGGAGCTGGTGCCCGCGGAGATGCCAACTTTAAATCAATGGCAGAGGTGAAGGATCATGCGCCGATGATGAAGCCAGTCTCACATATGCTCAGGGAGCCTTCGGCACATGTGACAGATTCCATCAAAGCCAGGCCTGCTTCACAATTGCTGCTGGATGCAGTGCTGTTAGATGGCTGAACCAAAACATTCTCATTTACTGATCCATTGAATCGGGATTTCAGTTGGAGGCAGAGGTCAAAACAAACTAATCAGTTTTTTTGGAAGATGGATGTTATAAAGATTATAATAAAGATTTTTAAATGGATGCCACTGGATTAGAATACTTGTTTGTACTTTACTTGAGGGGGCACATGTAACTTAACTTACTGACTCGGTTACTACTCAGATACAGATCATGAACAAATGTTGTAGCAGCATGAAATACATGAACCATTATGATTGATTAATGATGAATGAACTTGGGATCAATACGTAACTAATGCTTAGTTTCTGGTCAATTAAATCATTGTGTAAGAGTGTTCTTAGTGGGCACTTTGGATGTATCGGTTTGGGTATTAATATGTATGTATATTTGTATATGACATGATAAGCTATTTCATTTTAATTTTAGGTTTTTTTGAAGAACTGGCCAGGGACAACAGATAAAAATTACCCAACAGAGCTAACTCTGACTCATTTGCAGCCTTTTTTTCTGTTAATGAAAGACCACTGTCCTTGTTAAATAAATAACATACTATATTATTTGTGCCCCATCAAGTAAAATCTTACCGAGTCAAATCTGACTCTGTAAGTAAAATGGACATTTAGTTTTTAGATAAAAAAAAAAAAATAATAATAATAATGATTTCTTCAAATTGTCCTTAAGATTAAATGCACTGAAACATCTGGCAGTGTTCTTTAAACAGCCCAGTTTTCTAAGTACATAGAGGCCAGAATATTCTCACTTCTCCATCTTTTTGCATCATTCTGTGCTGTCACCATGGAACCAGGCTGCCTACTCAAAAATGACACCTCCTCCGTGTTGTCAAAGTTTGCTGAGGTTCAAGTTGTTTATGCTGATTATCGGCATGGTTTCAATTCTCAACAGGCAAACTTTAGTCCACGAGCAGATCTCTGTGTGTCCAGAAGGAGAAACTCCAGAGGAGGTGGGCGGAGCTGAGGGTGGCCCTTTCCCCAGAATCTAACTTCTGTACTGCCTTCAGATGTCCATCATCCCACCTACGTTTTTCAGTTCGTTACTGTTGCCTGTGTGCTGCACGCGGGACATTTCCCCGGAGCGTGGTGCTAGCTGGACCGCGACCAAAAAGGGTTTCAGGTGCTTTTTCCTTTTCAGAATGTGTTCAAGTTCAGCAAAACAATCCATGTCCATTAAATATTTAGCACCGGCTTTTAGCCGTAACAGGGACTTCTAACACTGCAGGAGTATTTTGATGCTTTAATTGAAGGCATTTGTATGTCTTTTTAGGTCCACTAAAAGCCAGGAACACCCTGTTTCTCATTACGTACGATCATTTCTATTTCAGAATAACTGCAATACAAACAAATACTGAATGACTTTTTTTTTTAAAGCTTATTGAATAGCCATTTCTGAAAAGCAGATCCCCAAGCAGGTACTGGCAGTAGATACATACATACATTGTTAATGTTTTACAAGCATGCAACAGTGTCCTTTGCATCCTTGGATCAAGGTGCACCTAATATATTATACCTAATATTTGACTGTAAGCATTATGCTGCACCTGTTATGTTACTATTTCTTTACATAGTTTTAACTTTTAAAATCAATTCACATTTTAAGACAACTTGCATGTACTAGTTCTTGATGTCGTGTTATATAATGTTACGGAGCTTTGCCGTGGGAGATTGACATGTAGGTCTAGAGAGTATGCAGTTTCTTTTAACAGAGCGAACTAAATACAAGGAGATGGCAAAGAATGTTTCTATAATGCAACATGTTTATGCCGTTAGAAAACTTCTATGGATGTACCTGTTGTTGGCTATAAAATATGCTATAAAATACTGCTCTGATACTTTTTAAAGGAATTGATACTTGTGTATGATGAACTGATTGAAAATGTACAGCTGGATAGAAATTTCTAATGTTCGTCTAGGAATAATACAACTAAGTCACATTACAGGTTTATCCAAAGTCACTTCCTGATGTGTGCCTTTTGGTATTTCCTGCAGCAATTCAAGCATCTTAATTAAAGGTAAAACTACACAACACCTCCTGGAACTTGAGCTTGAATTTTCATGTTTAAGCCTGAATTCTTAACCCACTTCCTTAACTTCTTTATGACTTGATGGAAAAGTAACCCTAATAACAGTCCTACGGCTGTTATTTTAAGCCCGGCGCACGGGTGACCTGGCTCAGGCTGGTCGACGTAAACGGCGCGCTTCACCGCAGCTATCGGAGAAGCTGAAAAGTCAGCGGGCAAAGGTGAGCCCCGCAACGGTTAGAAGCAGCTTCTGCCACCTCTGACGTCACCGGCCGAGGCGTGAAAAAGAGGCTGCCAGGGATGGAGTGTGAAAGCCCGACCCGTCTGGGCTGCGTCTGCCCGCGTTTATCTCCAGCCCTTCTGGGCTGTCGGTGCGTAAACAAACGCTGAGGATGAGCAGCTAACGGTGCGTAGCGTCACGAGGAACTTGTTAGCATGTGGGCCTCGCCTGAGCTTCGCTGAACGCTCTTCTCCCCCATTTCTGATCATCATGCACCCGTGTAGATCCACTGAGCAATCCCTGCATCTTTGTTTTTTAAATCTGCTTTTAAATCTCTTCTGAATTCATTTGGTTAGTCCTTTTTCTTGTATCTACCCATTTTTGACTGAGTTAATCTGTAGTTATTGACACTAACATTCAGCAAATTATGCATGTGATGTGCTCTGAATGGCCTAGGGTAGGGCTTTAGGAATATTAATACTGTCCCAGTGCTGAGAGGATATAATAGAAATCAGTTTAGGTTAAGAACAACAGATGTCTGACTGGCACAGCTGTTGCATCTGCTGATTTTATATGTGATACCTTGAGTCCCGAGGAAAGAAAAGTAAAGTGAGTCACCAGCTCTTTGTGTGTGTGTGTGCGCATGCGTGTGTGTGCGCGTGTGTGCGTGTGCATGCTTTAGCAGAGAGAACCTGCCTCTGCACTTCCTCCCACTCCTGCTATGTTTGGGATGACGCCTGGCACCATGCATGCCTTTCCTCCCCCCCCCCCCAACCAGTATCCCGCATCTCCGGGTTTATTCCGCACTAGTTCGCGTGCCCTTTCCCCGTGCGGACACGCACTCCAGCCCCCGGTGGCACAGGCTGCGTGGCTTCAAGCGAGCCGCTTTGACGCACTCTGCCGGCTGCAGAAACTGCGCCGTTCACGCGCATTCCGAGTGGGAGCGCCAGGAAGAGGGGGCCATCGACACGTAGCATCCCCGCAACCCTTCCAGAGAATCGCACTGTATGCGATTCGTGATGCGGTGGCGTCAATGTGGTGGGCTGAGAGAAACGCTGTAAAATCAGCATTAGACACACAGGTGAGTAACTCAGACGGAGCGACGCACTTGGCAGAGGAGCAGGCCAAGGGATGAGTCTCCCCTACATTATAGAGCCGCTTTTAGAAACTGTAACTGAAGACGGTCTACAAGAAGGGTCCTAAGCTTTTTATGTCGTGTTTAATATCTTGCAGTTAATGAATTACTTAAATAATATGGTGGATCTTAATACTAGAGAAGTAGTGATTGAATTCTGGTGTGCGACAGGACCTTCACCTCTCAGAATTCAGATCTTTGGTCCTTTGAGCTGATGACCCATGTCTGAGGAAGGTGGTAAATTAAGCTCAAAGCTGGTGATAAACCAGCACATAAGCTATTAGCTGTCTACGTTTGGATCGATGGTACATGACTTCATCAGGTAGGATGGTATCAAATTCAGGTTATAAGCCCTCTGTTTGGTATATTATCTTAAAGAATTGAATACATCTGTGTATTATATGTACCTTCAATTTTCAGATGCACTAAATAATGCAGAATTTTGTCAGTTACATTTAAATTGTGTATATATACCACGGAACATTCTAATTATATACACCCTGTACTGACCCTCGTGGATAACTGACATGGAAGGTGGATGGGTATATTAAATATGATATATCACTAAATATCAATTTGAACAGTGAAAAGATTATTAGACACCAGAGAGAAAAGAGAACTCATGAGCTAAAAAAAAAGATCCATAACCCACTTTTAGGCTGCATCCTCAGAGGTGCCTAATTTAAGACTGGGCCGCACCGTTCTGCGGCTTTGCGAGCACAGCCTGTTTTTTGGGTCACGCAAGCATTTTTGTTCCCCAGACGGACACATGGTGGCAAGTCCTGACGACAGCTCGGCTTTGAAGATCCCTGGCTCTGCTCGTGTGAAGGGCTCCATTGCACCGGTGTAATGAAGACGTGCAGCCGTACGCGGCCCAAACACGCTCCAGCTCCCTTGTTTGCCCATTTTTTTTGCAAGCTTCCCAGCACAAGCTAGATTAACCCTGGCAGCACGTCATGGGCCTAGTGAAGCAGAGGACTCTGGGAAGACTCACTGACTCAAGACTGACTCTGCTTTTTATTATCTGGGAATATCTAAATGTTTTCTCTCGTGTATCATGAAACGAAGTTGCTGTGCAGGATTTAACGCATGCATTTCAATAGCCCAAGTGGCCTGACCTAACTTGTTCCTGTTATACCATTTTTTTCAAGGGCTGGCTATTGTGTTGCAGTTTTAAAATGAATAATCCAGTGTTAAGTATTTCCCTCTTAATAAACTTTTTCTCATGACAATGTTTTAAAGTAATGCAGTGAGCCTGTAGAAAGCTATTCAAGATAAAATAAAGTTTTGCTGAAATAATCCACTCATTCATCCGACTTTCAAGTTAATAAGATTAAAATTAAGGTTTTGTTGATCCCAGGGGTGATATCTGGTGCACACAGTAGCAAGAGCACAGTGCACAGAAGAACATACACATAGTGAGAAACAGGAAAGGTGCAAAGCCACTACACATGGTGCAAAGTAAATGCAAACCAAGTACTAAGTGCAGGGTGGGGGGTGGGATACCTGGGAACATGCACATAAACATTAATCAGTTAAGTCTAATTCAATTACTTAGACTTAATTAAATTAACAAGTCGTAATTTTTATCGGCTAAACTGCTGATAGGCTGTTTTGGGGAAGTATGTTGTTTTTCTTGAGCAGATGCAGTAACAGTAAACACTTTGTAGAAGCTAAAAAGTTCTTTTAGATTCTAACTGAGCAAGTGGTCCTCCCCCCAAAAGAAAGCAAATAAAAGTGACCTTGTTCTGGCTGGAATGTTGCTGAACTTCTGCGACACGTTCCCTCAAGACCGAGGCAGGCAGGACAGTCCCACAAACCGCGTTCAGACACATTCTGCTTCCCACCTGAACTTCTGCGACACGTTCCCTCAACACCGAGGCAGGCAGAACAGTATCCACAAACCGCGTTCAGACACATTCTGCTTCCCACCTGAACTTCAAGCATGCGTGAGCTGTGCTCCTCCGAAATAATACTCCACGAAGAAATGCCGATCTGAGTGCCAGATAAGTCCTGTGCTTCTGCGTGCAGAATGGCCCAGTGCGGGGCAAAGTGGCAGGTCGTCAGGGAAAAGCCCAGCGTGACCTACCTGCTCTCACGCCGTGCTGCTTGTTTCGCTGGCTCTGGCTGAAGAAGAAGCTGTATAGCCACCCTCTCCCTGGCAGCTTTCCCCTCTTCCTTTCTGCTGCGTGTGGTGCTCAGTACGCCCCATCTCCCAGGAAGTGAACACAGTCACATTCCAACGTAAACACCATCCCCCCCCACGCACTCCTCCCAGCCTCTCTTTCGCTCTCTCTCGCTCTCTCTCTCCTTTCGTTTGCACTCAGCCTAGGGGCTCTGTTATCCATCATTCCACACTCCCGCTGTTGCTCGGAGTTCTGCCCACCACCAGCAATCTGTGCTCTGATTGGACTACTGCCCCGTCAGTCATTCTGCCATCCTGGTACGTATGCATAGGGTTGACGGGGCATTCTGCTTTCTCTGTTTCTTTCCAGATACAGGATTTGCTGCAGCCTTTTCTAAATGTGAAAATATGTGAAAAGGGCCTAACTTTGCATGACAGATTAAACTTCAATCTTTTGTTTCCTGACAGAAAAGACTGACTCGCTGCGAGCAAATAGTATTAGACTTCTGACTCTGAATACAGGTGCATATGGAACAATAACACCTGTTTTCCTTTATTTTTGAAATGAACTATAAAGTTTGTTTCTTTGGGCAAAGTTCTAAAGTGAGCTCTTTAAGAGAAGATCTCAAGTGAGTTATGAGAGGGTTAAGATGACAGCAGCTGGCGTTCGCGTGCTCTGGCTCTTACCTGGGGTGTCAAGGGAGGCTTATTCAGGTATTGTTTTGGACGTAAGTCATGCCCAGTCCAGATGTGTTTGCCTCTATTGCAGGGTTTCTGGTTTTAGCAGATATCGCATGTCGTCCTTATTGTGTTTCCTGATCACAATGCATGTCGCCTTAGTCTCTCCAGCCTCGACCGCATTGTTTATCATGGTCGGCACGAATAAGACATCCCCCTGGCCGGGGCTCCGCCTGTATACCCCTCTGAAGTCAGTGTCTCCAGGGATTTCCAGGGCAGGTGGATTATTATGGTTAAGGAACTGGTTTTTGTGATTAAAAGGGTTCAACTTCAAGAAGGGTCTGCCGCTGTACCCCTCAGCAGAGAGCTTAACTGGAATCGTGTCAGTAAATACCCAGCTTTATAAAGTCTGTAAGGCAGCAAGACACATGAATGAAGCATCAGTCAGATGAATGAAACTGATCTTTGTAGAGATGGTTCTTAGGAGGACCTTGTATTCATTCCAATCATCCCCCTTCTAAACACTTGTTCTGGTCAGGGTTGCACGGTGACCTGGAGCCTATTCCAGGCCCCCCAGGGCACAAGGCTGGGGTACAGCCTGGATGGGAAGTCCCGTCTTATCCAAAGGCAATCCAGAAATAGCCGTCACATCATAAGTGAGCAGTTATTGAATGACAAGTAAATTTTAGGTGCGATAGAAATGTGGCTTTTTAGGAAGCGTATGGCTCAGTGAAACTCAAACTTCAAAACAAACACGTGTTCATGTCTGTTATGTTCATCACAGTATGTGTGCTTCTCAGTCAGTTTTCAGGATGCTTAGCATAAAGTTAATTCACCATGCTTGTTCTACAGTCCCTTCAATCATCTAAATGATCTTATTGTTTTTGTAGAAGATCAAACAGAACGTAGCAGCCAGTTTGTTCCGAAACTCGTCGCTCACAGCACTGAGCAGACTGACGGGGTATCAGCTTGCTTGTCGTTGGTAAACAGCAACCTGCAGGTGTTTCACATAAACTGTAGGAGGCGATTATGTATTTAAACCTTCCTCACCCTGACTAACGAGGATAATTACTTTCCACTGATGCAGAAGTTCTTCAGTTGAAGAAGCTGCTCCGTTAGTCATTCTGGTCCAGGAAAAGAGTATCTTTACCAGCTCATTCCCTCAGGAATAGCTTAGGCTTCCAGATGGTTCCGGTAATAGTAATTCCCTCTCTCGTACTGTTGCCACTGACTTTCCATTTTTCCCTTTCCAGGCCAAAACAGAATATAAATTTAAAAGTGGATTATTCTGTATATTTTTTAATTCACAGAGCATGAACATAGCCATACTTGAATGTATGCAAAGCATTACATTAGTTTTTACGTTGAAATGCTTTGAGGCCATCATAATAGCAGTACATAAATTTATTCATGCAAATCATTTGCATGATTATGGTTTTTATATATAATAACTTCATCATATCATGCTCCTAATTACAGGTTCATGGCTGACACAGAAACCTAGTACCTTAAGCGGTCCGTGTTCTATTGGATCGGAATGCCCATGTTCAAGACAAGGCTACACGGAGATGTGGGGAAATCGGGAGCATTTTGTTTGGCTGACGCTGAACTGAATGCAGGGATTTCTCTCACTGGTTCTCCTTGGCTGCTTTGGCAGGAACCGGCGTCGTCCGACCAGACAGGCAACAGCGGAGGCTCAGGTGCGGCCAGCAGGCTGCCAGGTGTCAGTGTTTTTGCGTCGTTGCGCAAGGGGTGTCGTCTCTCGGATCCGTGTCCCCGACACGGAGTTGCGTCGCTATTGTCTGCCGCCCACTCATTTAAGGGAAAATAACACGCCAGCATGCTCAGGAACCAGTCAGTGTCACGCGAGAACCTCCAGGTGCATATGGTCGGGGTAGCATTCACGAGAAAAACAATGGGGCAGATGCAGAACTGTGCTATTTAAATTCCTGCTGTAGGGGGAACGTTAGAGGCTCCTGCAACTACTCAGACATACCTGTATGTGTGCATGTATGTTTGAGACCTTTCATTTATCCCCCTTTCATGCATAATTCATAAAATGTAATTAAACTTACTTACAACTTAACTGATGAGGGATGAATAGAAACCATTTTCTGTTGTGGATGAGAAGAGCTCCCACTACACGAATACTCGGTATTAGCCATTTTAGACCCTTAAAATCACGTATCCCCATTCAGAAGCTTAGGAGTAGTGCCTGTAAGGAATTGCTTTCGGCTCTGGATCCCATAAAGGGTCCTGTATTTAACGGGTGCTTCTTGAGAGAGAGGGGTCATCCGGAATCTGTCTCGAATGAGGTGTTACCCTCTGTTCCACCGGGTTTACACTTAACCTCATGGGCTGCGTCACCTTAGGTGGCCCGCGGCCCCTCGCCGCAGGGTGAACCCTCATGTGAAAGGGCATCTGCAGGGCAACACACCCTGCTATTACCCAGTACTAATGTGTTTTCTTCAGAAGCCTTCTGACAGCCCTGCTTGTGATGTCAGTAGGTTCTCTCACGGCCCTCACATCCACCTAATTCAGTTACGTAACTGACAAAACAGTTACGTAACTGACAAAACGAATTAATGATAGCTGAGATGTCAGGTGCTGTGCAAGGTGTACCGTTCATTCTTAGTCTCTAACAGAGATGCACTTAGTCAGAATACAAGCACCGGGCACTTCCAAATGGCACTGCACTTAATCGGATGGCTCGCTATTATAATATGCTGTGTGGGAGTCTGGAAACATTTTATGTTGTATCAGATGAGCTTTTTTTCATAATTGGATAGACAATTAAAGCCTCTGTAAAAAATCAGACCCTTGAACTATAATCAGCCCCCACATTAAATTTTTTTGATCACCTGACCAAAGGTGACTTATATAACTTTCTGACCTATTTTAGTGCACAGATTCAACACCTTGTCCGCAGCATCTCCATTGGTGCCTCAGCAGTGCTGGCAATGATTCAAACCTGCAACTTTGCAACTAGACAAATGCGTAGGCCTTTATATGAATATGCAAAATTTGTATATTTACGTATTTTAAAACCAAACTTAAATTTAGATTCTTTTTTTGCTCCCTCTGGATACATATTACTTTAAAAGATTAATTCTTGAAGCAGTCTGAACCTATTTCTGTGAGAAGTGTTTACAGAAGTGTTTGAAGGTGACCTACCTTGTTAAACAGCACAGAAAGTTGAGAACAGTGGAGTTTATTTGTGTCAGATGATTTACAGCACGGCTGCTGGGTTTGTATGGAGGGCTGGGGATCTTAGCTGGTGGTTTTGTGCAGGAGTAATGCAGCGTGAGTCACAGCTGGTCTAACTTCCTCTCCCCGTCATTATACGATGAGGGTATACCTGTGTGTGCATGTATAAAAGCTGCTGATTAAGAAGTACACTGCTAAGCCATGATGGGTTCATCATTCATCTTTTTCCCGGGTTCAAAACAGCTTCCTGTTTTGTTAGAATTAGAATTTAGTGATTGACACACAACAACGAAAATGTGTTCTCTGCATTTAACCCATATGTGACATAGCAGGGGGCAGCTAATTCAGCACCCGGGGAGCAGTGCTTGGGGGCGGTACCTTGCTCAGGGCACCTCAGTGGTGACTTGCTGGTCGGGGATTCGAACCTGCAATCTTTCAATTACGAGTGCACTTCCCTAACCATTAAGCCACCACTGCGCACATTTCTTCCAGTAAGCTTCTGTAATTTGTATGGCCCTCATTCTTTTTTATGAATATCATCATACGCGGGTCCATAAGTTTTGTATGTCTGTCTGGAGTTACCCAAGTTGCAGGATCGTGTCAGTCTGGACACACAATCGACATGCTACATGCAATTTCAACCCTTGACCTGTAGCTGTCAGCCTGCCACACGATTGAAGGGCTGTGCTCACCTGCTCTCTGTGCAGGCTGGCAGGCCAGATCAATGCTCAGTGAATTAGCTATAACATAAATAGAAATAAGCATAAATCTGGTTACTTATGTACTCACCTATCCCCCCCCCTGCCAAAAAATATCTCCTGTATTTTGAAACCTAAATTTTGGCAGGTACACGTTCTATGAACTACAGATGGTTAGCAGTTACCAGAAGAACTGGCAGGAAACAGAACACGGTTTTCTCACACAGGAACCGGCAGCCTTTTGCTCAGGAGTGAGTTAATGATGCTGAAATTTCTTAATTATGCTGAACGTGTTTGTAACTGTTCACGTGCACCTGTGTCTGTCACCCAGGGCAAAGGGGCTCGTGTCAGCGTACAGCGTGTTCTGCAGGTGGGGGTACTAACCAGGCAAACTGTGGCGGGCGTCCAGGACAGCACAGGAATGGCAGGACCCAAACAATGTCTCTATTAATCCAGAGATACACTGACCTTGTCTCATTTTCCACGTGTTTGTAAACTGTCTGGTTGCCTCTGCCATGATCAGACTCCTGCTCTAATGTCAGTGTTGATGCTGAAGCACGTTTATTATAACATGACAGCTTACCTTGGTTTACTGTCAG